CCTAGCAGCTGATGCTCGTGATGCTCGCCCGGCCGGCTGCTGAACACCAACAGCCTAGCAGCTGATGCTCATGATGCTCGCCCGGCCGGCTGCTGAACACCAACAGCCTAGCAGCTGATGCTCATGATGCTCGCCCGGACGGCTGCCGAACACCAACAGCCTAGCAGCTGATGCTCATGATGCCTGCCTCGCCCGGCCGGCTGCTGAACACCAACAGCCCAGCAGCTGATGCTCATGATGCTCGCCCAGCCGGCTGCTGAACACCAACAGCCTAGCAGCTGATGCTCATGATGCTCGCCCGGCCGGGTGCTGAACACCAACAGCCTAGCAGCTCATGCTCGTGATGCTCGCCTGCCCGGCTGCTGAACACTAGCAGCTGATGCTCATGATGCTCGCCCGGCCGGCTGCTGAACACCAACAGCCTAGCAGCTGATGCTCGTGATCAACAGCCTAGCAGCTGATGCTCATGATGCTCGCCCGGCCGGGTGCTGAACACCAACAGCCTAGCAGCTGATGCTCGTGATGCTCGTGATGCTCGCCCGGCCGGCTGCTGAACACCAACAGCCTAGCAGCTGATGCTCATGATGCTCGCCCGGCCGGCTGCTGAACACCAACAGCCTAGCAGCTGATGCTCGTGATGCTCGCCCGGCCGGCTGCTGATGCTCGTGATGCTCGCCCGGCCGGCTGCTGAACACCAACAGCCTAGCAGCTGATGCTCATGATGCTCGCCCGGCCGGCTGCTGAACACCAACAGCCTAGCAGCTGATGCTCATGATGCTCGCCCGGCCGGCTGCTGAACACCAACAGCCTAGCAGCTGATGCTCATGATGCTCGCCCGGCCGGCTGCTGAACACACAGCCTAGCAGCTGATGCTCATGATGCTCGCCCGTCCGGCTGCTGAACACCAACAGCCTAGCAGCTGATGCTCGCCCGGCCGGCTGCTGAACACCAACAGCCTAGCAGCTGATGCTCATGATGCTCGCCCGGCCGGGCTGAACACCAACAGTTTAGGAGCTGATGCTCATGATGCTCGCCCGGCCGGCTGCTGAACACCAACAGCCTAGCAGCTGATGCTCGTGATGCGCGCCCGGCCGGCTGCTGAACACCAACAGCCTAGCAGCTGATGCTCATGATGCTCGCCCGTCCGGCTGCTGAACACAAACAGCCTCGCAGCTGATGCTCATGATGCTCGCCCGGCCGGCTGCTGAACACCAACAGCCTAGCAGCTGATGCTCATGATGCCTGCCTCGCCAGGCCCAACAGCCTAGCAGTTGATGCTCATGATGCTCGCCCGGCCGGCTGCTGAACACCAGCAGCCTAGCAGCTGATGCTCATGCTCGCCCGGCCGGCTGCTGAACACCAACAGCCTAGCAGCTGATGCTCATGAAGCTCGCCCGGCCGGTTGCTGAACACCAACAGCCTAGCAGCTGATGCTCATGATGCTCGCCCGGCCGGCTGCTGAACACCAACAGCCTAGCAGCTGATGCTCATGATGCTCGCCCGGCCGGCTGCTGAGCTGGCCTAGCAGCTGATGCTCATGATGCTCGCCCGGCCGGCTGCTGAACACCAACAGCCTAGCAGCTGATGCTCATGATGCTCGCCCGGCCGGCTGCTGAACACCAACAGCCTAGCAGCTGATGCTCATGATGCTCGCCCGTCCGGCTGCTGAACACAAACAGCCTCGCAGCTGATGCTCATGATGCTCGCCCGGCCGGCTGCTGAACACCAACAGCCTAGCAGCTGATGCTCATGATGCTCGCCGGGCCGGCTGCTGAACACCAACAGCCTAGCAGCTGATGCTCGTGATGCTCGCCCGGCCGGCTGCTGAACACCAACAGCCTAGCAGCTGATATGCTCGCCCCGCCCCGGCCGGCTGCTGAACACCAACAGCCTAGCAGCTGATATGCTCGCCCCGCCCCGGCCGGCTGCTGAACACCAACAGCCTAGCAGCTGATGCTCGTGATGCTCGCCCGGCCGGCTGCTGAACACCAACAGCCTGCAGCTGATGCTAATGATGCTCGCCCCGGCCGGCTGCTGAACACCAACAGAGGCTGAAGCCAAACAGTCTTGCGGCTGATGCTCGTGATGCTTGCCCGGCCGGCTGCAGAGCACCACCAGCGATGCGGCTGATGCTCATGATGCTCGCCCTCCCGGCAGGAGAACATCAACAGCCTTGCGGCTGATGCTCATGATGCTCGCCCGGCCGGGCTGGAGGGCTAGCTGCCCTCCAGTCTCACCCTTGCTCGATGAGGCTTGGATGCGTCCGTCATCCGTACTTGCAAAACCTAAACCACCCCTGTCGCTTTCCAGGAAGAAGGGTGAGGAGCTGTGACGCGGTGGCAGTGACATGCTGGAGCTTATGCCAGGCTACCTCTTACACTGCATGCGATGTCAAGATTGCTGCGACGACCTGTCTATGCAAGAATCGGCCTTTGAACTTTAGCATGTTCAGCACACTTGAAGCTTAAAGGTTTCGGCGCAAGCAGGTTTAAATCTATAGGCGGCTTGTAACCACATGCCAAAGCAGCAGGACCTTCTGCGAGCTCACAGCGCACTGTTTGGCATTTTTCATATCTGCCGCATAGGCCACAGAAGTGCCGACCTTCACGGTAATGGTAGCAGCTCGAAACTTGAGCTTGCAACACGACGGGGGCGGCAATGCTAAGCTCCTGCAGCATCGTAGCTTTAGGCTGTGACGCAGCTGAATCGGACTGAATCGCAACTTCAGCTTGACACCTTTTACAATCTCGTCATAGTCCATCAACTAGACGTAGGATTCAGGAATCTAGATTCTGTTGCTTTAAAGCGCAGGCTGCCACAGAGTGGCCCTTCGTAGGTTTCCGAGCAACCTCACCCGCATAGACTTCCTCGCCAGAGCGAAAAAGAGCTTCCATGCCAGGGAAGCTGGCTCGATGTGCTCAAGGGTTAAGAGCGCAGGCCTTCCTCGTGTGACAGTGTGCGGGAGCATCTAAGACTCCAGGGTGTGGTCTTACAAGCAGCTTACCGCAGCCAAGCAGAAAGATCAGAGAGCTCCGTGTGCTGGTGTGCTGCAGCCGCGTGTTGTTTTTTTTGTTGGGTTGGCGTCCTTCAGCGCTCGGGTGCTGAGGGAGGCCGGGAGCCGGTGAATTTGCCTGTGGTTCCGTTGAAATATTTATAGAGGGGCGCTTGCACTCGGCATCTCAGCTATGCCCAAATCTACGGAATCACCTTTGCCGACAGATCCTGCAAGCGGCCACTGCCCACTGCTGTCTACTTCTTTGTTGCACAGACGTTGCCGTGGGCAAGCTCGATCTGTTGAAAATCTCCCAAACGCGCAAGGGATCTGCCTCTATATCGAACTTGTCCAACAGCTTGATGGATTTATCCAGAAGGTGCGCAAAAGTCCTTGTCTGTGCAAGTGCGGCTTCTACTCTATTCTACGGCAAAAGCTCAATCCAAATATTTGCAGCCTTTCCAGCCCTTGTACCCCCTAAATGCCCCAACTGCCAAAGCCGCAAATTCCACGGTGTCACTGGCGCAGGGACGTCTGGCCATGGCCTTCGCGGCGGAGCGGCGAAAGCCTGGGGAGTATGGGGACATGACGGGCATCACGCAGGAGAGCTGAGCAAGAGAATGCAGGGTGGCAGTCTTCATCGAGCCAAGTGTAAGACCTCTGCTCATGTGCTCGGATGTTGCCTTCGCCATTGCACCCACTGTAGAATCTCACTTGTCGTGAGGATGAGGTCTCGAAGCTCCAGAAGGCAGTCAACAAAATCCAGCGTGTGGCGTACTTTAAATTTCAGTGTCAGGCTTTGAACAGGTTCTCCTGGCGCCTTCCACAGTACATCAGAGATCTCCAAAAGCGGTCCTCATCGAGAGATGGAAACTCCAGCACATGGGTGCATCCGAGTGATACGCAGCTGCTCTGCTAGTACCCATGACAGTGGCCTTTTCGTTTTGTTGTGTGTCCTCCATCGGCTAGGCCATGAAGCAAAAGGAGTTTCGGGACCACATCGAAGAGCGCGGGCCTTGGGCGTTCCTTTGCAAGCTTGCTGCCAAATAGAAGACAAAAGCAAAGAAACAAAGTTGGAGTTTCGAACATACCTGTCCTTTGGTAAGCTAGTCTTGACCGGCAGAGGATGCCTAGTGGGATTGCGATGTTGGGACATCTGGGGCCACGCTCCGGGGATTTAGCCGGGGATACTCTCTGGTTTCCTCTGCATCCAGGCCCACTGCAGGGATACCCCGCAAGATCCTGCAAGAATCAGAACACCTGAGTAAAAACCTAACAACTCAGCATGGAGGGCAAAGGCTGAATGTTATACATACACATTCATACATACATAGTCGGATCAAGTAATGTACCAAGCTTGTGGGCGGCAAGTCATGCCATTTGACGTGCTCCCGCCACACAGATGGGTCTCCTAGCCGGTAAGCCTTGCATGTAACAGCTTGGAGATTGAATCTAAACTGGCTGCCCCCCCCTCCCCCCCAAAGCAACTGTTTGACTCGTTTGGGCCGATGCCTCGTGCACCCTCGTGCTTTATGGAGGTACACACGCGAGGTCTCTGATCCGGCACACCGCCAGGAGTACCTTGATTACCTCGCGCAGATCGAGGCTGGCCCATGGGTTAGAGCCTTGCAGGGCCTCGAGCTGTAGAGCCCGAGCTGTAGCGCGCAGTGGTCAGTTGTCCTTTGTTCAGTGTCTTGCGCTTTGGGGATTGCCGTGCATGCAGCGATCTAAGTACCAGACCTTGATCGGAAGTCAGAGGCCACGGAGACCCTCCCCGCCTTCCCCAGCTCCTCCCCCAGCCGATCTTAAAGTCTTGGGCTTTGACCCCCGACTTTTTTTTATGTCCCTTGAACCACCTGACTTGATGAGGGCCCTGAAACAAACTAGGGATGCGGAATCAGCCCAGAAACGTGAGCCAAGGATGGCACGCTCTCATTCTTTGTCATGCTGTAGCACTGCAGCCGACGTCTTCAGAAACAACCAGCTTGTCTTACAGGCCAAGGGCGAGATGCCCGAAGGCCAGCAGCTTCTGCGTTGTCAGCCAGGGCTTTGTGCCGGACGACCCAGAGAGGGGGTCAGGTTTGAGTTGCTGTCGTTGAGGGCGAACAAAGGCTAGGGGGAGATTACGTTCCATGCTGGAGTCCAGCATTGTCAGCAGGTCTCCCGGCAGGCAACATGACAGGAAGTGCAAGCAACGACGCACGGTGCACAAGTTAAATTTCCCACTCAAACTTCATGCGTAGCATGTAGTCGTGGGTTAGTTAGACGTAGTAGCAGAGGATGCATGGCTGCCACTCAAGAGATGCCGAGAACCCCATACACGGCGCCATGCGTTGCCGCTGCGACAAGTCACGAAGTCACTGCTGTTCTCGGGGTCTTGGGGCCTGGCTGGGCATAGGGTCTGCGGTTACACATTTATCCTGACCAATAGGCTGAGGGGCGGGCTGCGCATAAACCATTGGCATTGTTGCTTGACTGATCGTGAAAAAGACCCTTGCCTTTCCAAGGTGAAGACGAACATTAACTTCAAGAGCGGACAGAAGCAAAAGTGCTTCATCAACATCGTCCCTGGCTGAGTGCGCTCTTTTGCAGGGCGCGCTTGTCACACGTTTCTGTCGGGAGGGCTTTTGTTCCTTAACAAACAATTCAAGGACCTCACAGCTGAAAACAAAACCCAAATTCCCGAAGTCCGAATTCCTGCACTGCTAGTGGTAGGCAGTCTTGTTAGATGGCAGCACTCGAGCCTGAAGCTGCCAAGCTGCTAAGCCTAGCTCGTGCTCCCAGAGGTTCATACGGATCGGCTCGAGGACGGCGCGGCAGAGCGAGCTTCGTCATTCATGCACTTGGAATTGTATCGTAACATACCATGGTGCAGAACCACCCTTTGCAGGTGATCTATGCCAGTAAGCCTTTACAGAATGTACCTGCAATGAAGACTACAAAGCATGCACGGGTCGAGAACACAGCGCGGACGGATACAAGCCCCAAAAACGCCGTCGTCGCCTGGCCAGCCCGAGTTGTGAGAACGCCAGCCGGTGCATCCTGAGTTCTGACCGAGTTCCTGAGTTCCACAAAACCACATCTTTGACCAGACTTTCCAGGATCTCACCTTAATCCCTGCGGAACAGGGCAGCGGCCATCAAGCACCGTCCCAAAAGGGAAAGCAGTCTGGGGGGGAGTTTGTGGGGTTCAGGTTTCTTGTGTTCAGACGGTGCTTTGGGGCTCCGGGCTATCACCTCAGGAAGGTGTGGACTTAATTGTTGAAGGACGGCGCGGGTTTCTTACGGTGCAGCAGTGTGCAGTATATAGTACTGTTTAGTGGGTTAATTCCAGATCTGTTTTTTGGTTTAATTTTTGTTGATCTTAAACGGCTTGCCTTGCGGGATTCGGCGTCAAAGGTAAAACGTTTAACTTGGGGCACGCCTTTGAGGTTCGTTTGTCGTTTCTTATCCTGAGTACAAAGCAAGGAACCCAGCATCCCAGTCCTAAACTTGTTTTAGGTCGCCCCGAACCCCACCTTATTTAGTTTCTCTGTTAGAAAGTATGCATGCATGGGCCATAAGATTCTTCACTGAACCTGCGAGAGCAGTCTTTGGTGGGGGGGGGGGGGGTCTTACAGTCGAGCCTGCGCCAGAGGTCCACCTGCCCTACAGCTTGTCGCCTCCACGGCCGGATCGTGACTTGAAGGTGGGGACTCCGAGGGCTTTGTTTTGCTAATAAGACTAGGGTTGTTCTGCTTGCGACGGGATCGTTGTTTTGCATGCATAAGGAATCACAGAAATCTCGGGCTCGAGCCTGTGAACACCAGCTTTGAGTGACTCTTGCATCGTGGCGATCGACATCCCAAGCTCTACGGTGCTATGGAGCATGGCACAGCACGTGTCTGCTACGTGCAGGTCTGCTTGCCTGCAGGTCTGCTTGCGGTTTCAGGCATGCCACAGGATCTGCACTTTGATTACAGCTTGTTTTGTCCGGCCGAAGCTGCAGCAAAGCCAGGATGAGTACTGCATGACCTGCGACTTTGCCGTGAGCACCGGCACCTTCCAGCGGGCCGCGCAGAGCTCGCAGTCCGAGCCCCGTGCCCAACGGACAGAGACCTTTAGAGTATTTTCGGGACTGTAGGGCTTAGGGCCTAGGCCTCCAGCTTTGAGATGGACATTGACATGCAGGGATGGGCACCGCGAACAAACAAAAATCATCCCTAGACTATCCTAGACTCTACCTGCAATCCATTCAGCCCAGCTGAGAACACGAACACAGCAGGGCTTCTGCAAACCGATTCCACCCGGGGCACTGTTAGATACTGTTAGGGCCAAGTTCCGCTCCCATTCTTGGCCGCCAGGATCCTGAAGCTTCTGATAGACACCGCAGCGGACGGGCTCTCGCAGCAGCCCTTGCCTCGACGTTTTTGCATTTCGGGCTTACAAGGCCCGACATACTTAGTGGTTGAGGCCGGTTGGGGATTTAAGGGTCCGGGTCAAGGGGGGCAGGGGGTCGAGCTCGGGCAAGGCCGCCGGGTGTCGACGACTGCAGACAGAGTAGTCAAGAGGAGCATGGAGCACTTAGGCTTCGGGCTTAGGCCACTTAGAGACTTAGAGCATCTCTGAGGGTGTAGGAAAGATGTTGCGCTTCCAGGTTCCTCAAAGGTCACGAGGAGGTCAGCAAGGACTACAAGGCCAGCTTGACAAATTGTATTGTCCCTGAACTTGAAACCTGGTGTTTACGGTTACGATATGACCCTGGTGGCGCCAGATATATGGTGGCAAACGCCTGCAGGTACTTGTTGGGATCTGCTTCCGCCTGAACCCTGCGAAGCATCATGGGGTGGTTGAGGGTCTCAGGGAACAGGGTGAAGACATCCTTCTTAGAGTCTTACCACTTGTTGAAGGCTGCTGGTAGATTGTCATAGAGCCTCAAATGCGAGCTCTTGCTTGCAGGCTTCCTTGACCCTCGGATGTTGCGCTGTGCCTTGTACCATGTGCCTTGTGCCTTGCGCATGTATCTCCCCATGAAACATTCGATCGGGCAAAGCAGGGGAAACACTTGATATCAAGCTACAAGGCTTTTAGCCATCCTGGGTCAGAAGGAGCGAGTGAGGCCCCAAACGCAAAGTCGACTGTCAAGACCGCATCCGCAGGTCATGCAGAGACTTCAGTGTAAAGGCGGTCAACCTTTGCCTATGTGCCACGGCAGCATCAGGCTTGGTTGTTTTTTTTCAAGGATCCTGAGAAGGCTGAACTAAGCCTATGGCCCTTCATGTGTTCTGTGACGCACATCTCAAATACGTGCCGTGATCTCGAAAGCTTTGTCTTGGGGCTTTGTCTCAGTTTCCCAACGGCCTTAGACCACAGCGGGTCGAGTTCTCGCAGTCTTCACATCACAGAACAGCATCCAAAGGCCTGCGTTTCCAATCCGTTCCCTTCTCAAAGCACAAGCGTCCCCGATGAGATGAGGTCTGTGCGGGCGGAGCTCCTCCGGGACAAAGGCACCAAGTCACAGGCCGATGAGCTCCGTCAGCCCCGTAACTCCATTAACTCTATGTTCTGGGGCACAGCTGGGTCCTACTGTGCGAGGACACATGAGGTGATAATCGATATGTGGAGTTTCATCAGAGAGGGGCTCTAGGTGGCGGGCTGCAGCCGGTCGCCTCTCTCTAACGCAAGTTCTGTGTGGCCTGAATTGTGCAGGTCTAATTGCGCACTTACTAATGCGATTCAGCACCGCACATAGCGCATGAAAAGCTGAATTTTGATAGCAACATGCCAATGAATACTAAGTCCAGTATTGGAGTGTCTAGTGGACCACATGTTGCGATTCATGCTGAGGACAATTTCACGAGACGCATTTCTGAGGGTTCAACGTGTGTTTGCTTAACAGGCATGCCCTGGTGGGTTTTGGGCTGTCTGATGTGGTTGTGTTGAGTCGCGCACAGGCGCCCCAGAAGATTCCGGACCGAGACGCCATCACGCCTTCTGAGCTCAAGGAGATGCGCATCTGGGGCTGCAAGTATTGGTGCCAGATGGGTGAACGGGGGCGGTTGGCCTCAGTCCCTACATTTGACCGATTGGCGAGGTCAAGCGGCGAAGAATCGAAAAAAGATGTCCGGCGTCCCTGATGCTGCGGCCTCTCGGTGAAAGGCATGAGCCGTCAACTTGCGACAACTCCCTACACCTCACCATGCAGTTTGTTCAGTGACACATCGATCGGCTAGAAGCTTGCGAGACTTTGACACCCGAAACCGAAATCCCTGAAAAGCCCTAAAGCACCAAGGAAGACGAGGCCACTTCGCGGCGTGGAGGGTTTTAAGCCAAGGAAGTTGGGCTTGCCTGCTGGCATTTCTGTGAGTTCTTGGGTCTGAGTTGAGTTTTGGAGTTTTTCGTCGTGCAGAGTGCATACTCTGCAGACATGGATGCCAGACACGAATCCATACCCTCAAATGGTTGCGGGTATTTTGCTGCATGCAGATCTCGCTACCACAAAGCTTGCGTCAGTTGGGCGACGGTGTCTTAGTACTGCTTTTTCGGGGCAGGAATGCGCACTTTGTTTAGCAAGATCCTTTTTCCCCAAGTAAGAAAATGTACGGTGATGCTTGTCGCACCATCAGCATCACAATTGCAGCAGCTACTTGGGTGACATGAGTGCCTGGGCTACTGAACTCCCCACAGCCATCAGGCGGTGCAGACCTGAACCCATGGGTCCTTAGTATGGCCACCCCAACCGGTAGACTGTCAGCCTAAAGCACCTTCTGCACGTGACCTTACGGTAGCACGGCCACGGCGTGGCCTGGGCCAGGTCGATGAGTCTTCTGCGCGCGAGCGAAAGGCCAAGGACGGAATGCGGCCGACTGATGGATCGGAAATCACGGAACATCGGAGGATTCAAAGTTCAAGCCAAGGCTTTGCGCTTGAGGTATTTGGGCTTGGGCTGGCTGGGTGGGTGCGTATACGCATTTTTTGTATACATATGTACATATATAATATCGTCAAGAGATTTGCTTTCTTCTCTCTGAAGCCTCGCAAATCTTCTCGGCCTGGGTGACGTTTGCGAGGAGCCCACGCCCGGTCGGATTCGGGTGCCGCACCATCGGCCCGAAGCTCAACATAACTCAACACAGCGGCATCGTGCTGTTTGGGCAATGATGGCGATGATGCTGACCACCGACTTGGAGTGTAGTAGCTTCACGGGGGGGGGGGGGGGGTATTGAGTGTGAGGTGTGGGGTGAGCCTCTGCTTGCTGAAGGGGCCCTCTGAAGTCACGAAGACCAGAGCAGGGGGTGGCTGTGTTTTGTTGCTCAGTTTTGAATCCCCCCCTCGGCGCAAGTAGGGAACAGAGCCTCAAAACCCTAAACCTGCTACAAGCCTCGACCCGAAGAAGGGTTTAGGGTTTAGGGTTTTAGAGTTTAGGGTTTACGGTTGGTGTAGGGTTGAGGGAAAACCCTAAGACACTAGTCCCTTGCCTTTCGCTGACCCGAACTATTTGTGGATGCAGTCAAGGCTTGGGACGTGAGCTCCAGCGACAGAAGTGATTCATGAGTGGCCGCAGCTGTTTCGGAATAGAACGACCAGCCAGATTCGCGTGAACTCAGGTGGCAACGACCTTGGCAAAGCTTCGACTCGCTCTGTTACACAAACCAACAAGTAGCTTAGTGATCCTTCGGCAGTCAGTGTGGGGCGGCAACGACGCTGGCTGTTCATCATGTGGAAGCTTTTCCTGCAGCTCGGCCTGGCGTAGAACATCAGACAGAGACTCGCGTGGATGTGCATGGTATGCATGGAATGCGCAAGCAAATTGGATTGGCTGGCACGTGCAGATGCGCGAAGCTGAGCCCCAACGGCCTTGCAACTCAAGTGATGCTCATGGTGCTCGCCCTGCGGGCTGCTTTCCCCCAACAAGCTTGCTGCTGATGCCCATGCTGCTCGCCCGGACGGCTGCTTAACCGCAACGGCCTGGCAGCTGATGCTCATGATGCTCCCCCCCCCCCCCCTCCCCCGACTTGGCAGCTGATGCTCAGCTGATGCTCTTCCGGCTGCTTAACCCCAACGGCCTGGCAGCTGATGCCCATGATGCTCCCCCCGACGGCTGCTGAACCCCAACGACTTGGCAGCTGATGCTCATGCTCGCCCGGCCAGCTGCTTAACCCCGACGGCCTGGCAGCTGGTGCTCATGATGCTCGCCCGCCGGACGGCTGGGCAGTTGGTGACTGCCCGAGCAGCATGAGCATCAGATGCAAGAGCTGCCGGCCGAGTCAGCGTCCAGGGCAGTGGGATCCAGCAGCCGGTTCACCAGAGTTCAGAAAACCTTTGCCGAACACAGGTGAGTTCTCTAAATAATGGTCCCTTTCTGGGTACCTTGAAATTCAGGGCCGCCTATAGTAAGCCAACCGTTAGAGCAGTGACCACATGACCATGTTGGGGTATCGTACAGTACAGGCCACAAACACCCTCAACAGTAATAGGTCGACGGCATGTTACAGCAAGCCCCTGATCGAATCAAAGGACCTTCATCGTGGCATCGGCAACTCAAGCATCGGTGCAGGACGAGATTGATGCGCTTCCTGGCGGGCTGCATTTGCAGAAGCGAGGGTAACCCTGGAGCAGCAGGATCACCAGCAATTGAATATTTGTGTACATGCAATGCAGCAGTAATGCAGCACAGTTGCGTGAACACCTGATGCACCAAAAGGCTTTGTGCAACCCAACAGGTGCAAGAGTCCACAGCAGCAACGAACCCATGAGCAATGCAGTGGCTGCACAAAACCACAAGAAGCAGCCTTCTTGTGGTGAGATATTTTCTTAGCAGGCCAAAGAACCCTTCGGCACAGTCCACTCAGCTAAGCTGTTAAAGGAAACCTATGTACAAAGCTGCTGATGTTAGCCGAGTGCGACCATCCAAGGCTTGTGCACGCGAATCAGCATCTCATGCAGCAGATCAAGGAGATCAGGGCCTCCCTGAAACTTGCTCCTGGCATCGTTTGTCGGTTTTTGTTCTTCGTTTGCTACTGTAAGAGTGGGCTATTCGTCAAAGACACAGTGTTGTTAATTTTCCCAATGGCAATCTTGTTGGTTGTTGGCTAATGACTCGACACGCAACAAGCCGAAATCAGTTTTCTGAGCGCACGGCACATGGGTGAGGGCGGGGGATGGCTTCGTAACGGACACACACGTACGTACGTACATACATACATACATGTTTCCATATACAGGTCATCCGCATTCGTCTATATGGAAGGTGGGGCTCGTTGGAACGGAAAGGGCGGCCCGGGATGCGGTGGAGGGAGGGAGGGGGGGGGGGGGAGATGGGACTTCGGCCGCTGGACTTTGCCAGCAAAGCTTCCGGTCTCTTGTTTGTCTGAGTTCTCGGCATTCTCTGCTGTGCCGGTGCCGATGTGCCCAGGAATGGCCGGCTGTCGAATGACCTGCAGGTCCTTTGAGAAGTACAAACCTCGAGAGACGCGTTCCTATGTCATGACGTGGAGATACCATGGCCCAAAGCTGCGGATAGCGGCACATCAAGGTTCTAGAAAGCTGCTTCAGAGCTCAGGCTGAGTGCAGAGTGCATAATAGCCTCAAGCACCGACTGAACTATCATTCGATTTGCGCAGGTGCTGGCAAGAAGGACGGCCCCTGGACTTCAAGTAGGCAAATTCGATGCTGCAGGAGGAAAGTGAAACTGTGTGGCAACCCCAAATTATCGCAAAGTTATCGCAGCTGGAGGCTTGGCCTGAGAAGCAGCGAAAGAGTTGGGTGTGACACATCACCGAGGAGTGGAATCGCGAGGCCATTGCAAAGGTTGCCACGCTGTCGCAAGGTGACTGGGCAACGTGGCAGGGTTTGAAGGGGCTCAGTGATCTGCCAAGGCAACCAAGCCACGCCGACACCAGCAGCATGCAGCTTAAACGGGTTCGGATGTGTTTGCGTGCGTGCCGCGTTAGGCACAGATCATGTATATCACTGCCACGTTCGCATCATGCAGGGCACCTGGTACGTTCCTGCTGGATTTGTGCGTGCGCAATTGTCTTAATGCTTGTTTGTCCGAGAGTGTTCACTTCACCTGTTTGCATTGATGCCGATGCTATTTTACACAAGAGCTCAGACGGCAGGGAACCGGCTGTTACTCGCCTCTCAGGTGAGTTACTGGCACTCCTAGCGAAGGTGAGTATGCAGAGCCAGGACGTGGGTGCGGAAGGGAGAGGATCTGGGGTCCTCCAACTCCAACCTTGAGCACACTAAAACATGGCTCACATGGGAAAGATACCGGAACTGTTACTGTTAGAGGTCCTGCGACAACAAGCTTAAGGTTGTCGGTCGCGCCATGCCCACATCTGTCTTGTTTGGCCTGCCCTGAAAAGCGCCAACAGAGTTGCATCCTGCGGCAAGCCCTCCGACAGCTCTGATCCGGCTTACCGCGTCACCATCTGTCCCCAACCAAGTTATTGCCGGAAGAAACAACGTTCCTTGCGGAAGGAACTTGGCGAGGTCAAGCACATTGTGGAACAGGTGCTGCCGGAGGCTTGGAACCCATTTGGCGAAGCATTCTTTGGACGAGAACCCCTTCCTTCTTGTGGGGGCCTGTTGTCGTTCAACTTACGTGTCCTTTCTTGTTCGACTGGCCTGCGTATATAGAGTGCCGATCTGAGCTCTCCACTCTTGCATTGGGGCTTGAGTGTCTGAGGGCAGCTTCCGACCTGCTGCACTTAGACCGCGCTGTTGGAGCAGTAGAAAGCGAAGTGTGTTGAACTGTTGAACTGTTTTTCCTTTTTTGAACTTGTTTTCAAAACCTGTTTATGGCAGCCTGTAGAGTTTGCTGCGCTTGTCAGCAGCCAATGAAGGTGGATCGCAAGATGGAGACGCAAATTGTGCAGGAGCCTGTCACCCTAGGTTATGGTGCTTGGTGTCAGGCCTGCGTCTCTTCCTCGAAATCGAGTTTTAGTGGCATTTCGGGTTTTCGGGTGTAGTTGGATTGAGCCCTTGATGGGATGGGATTTCGGATCCACTGTATTCAGGCGGTTTCAGCTATACGAAGCCTTTCCTCCGATAACCTCACGACTCCGGTCTGGTGATGTCAACTGCTCTTCCCATTCCATGCTCAAGTTTTCGTCCCTCCTGAGCACAGCAGGCACTGTGACACTGCCAGGAGAACCAAAAGATCGATGCTGCAGCCAGCGCTTCACAGGAGGTGAGGGTGACTTATAAGCGTGTTGACTCGGCTACTCGACAGGATGGTACCATGATGGCACAGGGTTTTTTGGGTTTCCTGGACCTGAACCCAACTGAGCCCTTGACTTTTGTGCTTGAACTGCGGCTTAGGCTGCTTCAACGGTGGCACACGAACTCCCACAGCAGCACGCGCAGCCAATGAAACAGAATGTCACGTGCTTTGATCAGGAGTTCTAAAAGCCTTGCTGGCCATCATGGAGAGAAGATTCAAGAGCTTACGATGTTCCTCAAAAGAGTGTTTGACTTGAACCCCCACCTAGCCAAAACCAAGCTGCTCATGGGTCCACAGTAGGCGCAGACGAACGGCGCTCAACAGATGGCAAAGCTGAGGGAGGCCGAGCACACAGTTCTGCACCAAATGATCTGTTCTCCTGACAGGCTGTGATCAGAAGACCAGCTCTTCGACAAAAAGGGTCTTTAAGGGACCATAGCCATGGGCAACCTCTGTCGCCTCTGCTTCAGACGCTACGCGAAGTAGTCTCTTCTGACCAATGCAGCCATCTGAATATGAATGTCCAGAATACAGCCGGCTTGTAATCGTCGTCTAGAAAGTGTTCGTACTATGAGTTCGTGAAACATCCGTTGTCGAGAACATCTGATAGCATGGCCTGTATGATCCGTTGTCGCTTGTGGTCACAGCGGTCATTCTGTTATCTTCGAGTTGAAGACACTGCTGGTACCCGATTCTGTTAGCAGGGCCAACACCGAAATCATGCCTGAGCAGCACCGAAAGTCGCAAAAAACTACTTGCATCCTCGACACTCGACACGTGTCGCGCTATGCTCCAGCCTTCGCATACCCGCTATATGATTGACACTTACATGGTAGGTGGCGGAATGGCTGCAAACTGAGTTCAACCGAGAAGATGCA